CACGCCTCTGGTTGCTATTTTGCTGCTACAGCAGCAGTGAGGAGGGTCTTGACTGAAGCGGCAACGGTCAAGGACAATGTGTCTGGAGGTAACTTTGTTATGGGAGCTGTGGAGACTCTGTTATCGCTTTGGCTCCATTAATTCCAATTCATTTTAGCCGTGTGATAACTAGCAGCGTCTACTTGTCTGTGCTCTCACAAATCAGTGAGCTGTGTTTCCAGATAAAGGCTGAAGTCGGCTGTGGGAGGATTCTCTTTCTGCTGTCTGTTCTCATGAATTTAGTGTCAGCACAATTGTGTTCTTTATACTCCTCTGTGAAGACAGTCTATATAGGCATGTTTTAATTAGCAATCATAAATGAAATAGGGAAATATGTTAGAGCTTTATTTTCTCTCACGGTGGAAGAGGGCGGGGATCATTCCCACCAGTTGGCACAAAGTCTGACAAAAGTCCTTATATCCCTTACCTTCTTTTTCACAATTTGTCATGTTCCATAAGTAAAAATCAATGTAATTTAATGAGATATTTTTCATTGACCAACACAAAGTGCACTGTAATTTGAAAAAGAGGGAAAATGTTCAACAATGTTTTATTACAAAGGAGCATGTGGCAGTGGAACACTATTGTGTAAAATACTGATCAGGTTCACTTCCCAGCAGGATAACACCCTGAAACAATTGCAATTGTCACCAAAACTGCAACAAAATCAAAATATATTAATTTGTTCTGAACACTGAAAATAGTTCAGGCAAACCTAAGAATTTAATTTGATTGAGAATCCAGGGTACTTGAAAACAAATATTCACATCAAATCCTAAATCCACCCATTTTCATGATACGAATAAAAAAATAAAATAAATACAAATCAGCCTCTAAATATGTGCACATCCCACATTCTACTAAAATGTGTTTCTACAAACCCTTGACAAAAGACAGTAAAGTACAAATCCAAGCCATATTTTTCAGATTTTTAATTGAAAAGAAATTTGTAAAGCATAGTTTTCTTTTTCACTTGACAGTTGTGTGTTGGTCTTCAACATAAAATAATAAGATCCAAAAACTGAAAAAGTTCAAGGCATATTCATATTTTTGTAAGCAAGTGCAGGGATTTCATAGTGTTTGTGTTTGTGTATTCTGTATTACAGATTGTGATAATATAAAAAATAGCAGTGTGGTGTAATCAGCTGAACCATCTCATATATGTGAACTCTTTAACACATTTGTTTGTTTGTTTTTTTGTTTATTCACCATCTGTTGCTTCTTTTGAAACAATCACTACTGTCCCTCTGGCCCTGCACTCTATATATCAAATCTGACTGACATGAGAAAATCTTTTTTCAGTATCTTGTTAATATGAGCTCCCTTTTTCTAAAAGGCGAGAAAAGGAAAAAAGATATAACATTTTCAAGGACAAAGGAGGAGTTTGTGTTGTGGGGAGGCAGAACAGTTTAGTTTCTCACACTTGGAAGGAGCTCACTCCAAAAGGGTTTTATAGGATCAAGTATGGTTACTATGTAGAAAACATTCAGCATAAATTTATCATTACCATCGTCACAGCTTTAAATTATTCTTGACTTCAACTGCTGAATGGATGGTTTGTCTCCTAGTCGTTTAGGCGTGTAAGGCAAGAAGCATGAATTTCCATGCGAGAAGAGTCACCTTGCCTGCCATCACACCTCTATGTCTACAGAAGCGGGTAAGAATTAAGCAGGGATTTCCTGTTTCCTTTGATATTGCCATCACAGTAAAGTTTTTCCTTATGTTTTCTTCTGAATTGTTAAAGAAAACACTTTCTGTTTCAGATTTAGATTTATATTCAAAAAGTGTCACATGAAGTCCATTTTCAGTAAACTTCCAAAGGAATATTCATGTTGTCATCATCTAATAATTTGCTTACATTCTATTCAAAACGCATTGAGTTATTTTAGCTTCTTGGTTTTCGGTTAGTCTTTTTAAAAGTGTTTTTTTCATAAAACATTTTTCTATTCCACCAGTCAGTCAGTTACACTTTCAGATGTGTCTGAAAGACTTGGAAGTCTCTATCTTGTTAGACTGCTTTAAATGGAACATGAGCACACCTTGTGCTTTGCTTAAAAGCTCATAATTATCTTTGGGTGTTGCAACAAATACAGATTTTAGGGTTCCTTTAAAATTGTGTAATCTCTCCTTCCTTCCTACTTGTTGAATTTTCCTGTTTACACCAATATTTTGTTGTTAAATAATAAGCTTTAATATGGAATATTATCCTAATATGACACATGAAAATAACTTTTGTTCAACTCTCAAAACTCATGATTTCTTCCAGCAATCACTTTGATATGCAAAGCTGCAACTAACCTTAAAGCTTGCTTATTAGTCTTGCTTGATAACATTTACCGTTTTTCTGCACTTTGCTCTCTGTTGCAGACTGATTATGTCTTTTTAGCTATTGCCTTCCAGTAACTTGTATCAGAGGGCAGGTTTGCCACAAGCAGCTGGTTGTACAACTGTTTGTAGCGATTAGAAGCAGCACCTGGTCTGGAAGCCCTGCAGGAATCTGAAACCATCAGTTTTTCCAGTGTTATGACATGACTGGGGAGAAGTGGGAGGATAATTCAGATGGTTGTCTTAGTCCAGGCAGGAGGCCAGCTCCTCACCCTCTCACCGCTCAGTGACAGAGCCACAGCTGTGGGAGTGCGCTTCAAGGTTCAACCTTAGGAGGCTAATTGGCAAAATGGCACACGCTGTACTGCCCTTGAGATAAGAAGGTCCAATAGAGGAGTTTGTGTTCAATGAGACTATATTTAGTGCTGTATGGTAAGTTTCTGGATATACTCTGCCTTGTCTAGCTGTCTTCACAGCACACAATGTACCGATGCCTTGCCCCAAGTTTCACCGATCACCTTGGCAAGACACTTTTTCAGATCAGCAGTTTAGACAAACTTATTTTATTTCACAATTTTCTGGGCCTCTATTGTTTTTTGTTGTTGTTTTTTACTGATTGTATTGGTGTGATATAATTTGGTCATAAGTAAACAAGTTACTAAGAAGAGTAACTTGTTTACAAGTTTACAATGTAATTGTAACTGAGTTGGATGTTGGAATTCAATAATTTGATCAAGTTGAGAAAACAAAAAAAAAAAAGATTTTTACTCCAATGTAAGTCATAAAAACGATAGCATATTTTAGTTAGGTTTGCAATAGAATTATTATTATTATTTTTTTTTTCTATAATCTCATTAAACATTCACCAAAATATTTCAATACACAGTTTGTTGTATTCATATTAAGACATCTTGAAGTCTCACTCATTTTTTCACAATACAACCTTTTTTTATAAGCATGCACTGATAAGGCAATACTATAGTGGGGAATTATAAGTTAGAAGGACATTTATACACAGTTTTTACAACTACGTTTAAAAAAAATATCAATGTGAATTTGCATGTATCATCAAAGCAGTCCAAACATTTTACAGGTTCAAGACTATGTAGGTTTCTACAAGTTTTGCACATTTAAATATATAACTTTTTCCTATTCTTTCTAGCAAAATAGCTTAAAACAGCAATTTTGAAATTTTCTCCCCAAATTATTAGTTAGGTTTATGTGTGAACTTTGACTGGGCCATTGCAATACAAAAACATGGTCTAATCTAACTATTTCTCCGTACCTCCGGCTGCTGATTGTGGACCAGTTGGAATTCTTCACCCCAGTCTCAATTTTTACGTGCCTCTGTTGGGTTTTCTTTCCTATTGTCTCTGTCTCCCCAGAGAAAAACATCCCCACAGCATAATAATGCAATTACAGTCTTCCACAATATGCAGGGATTTTTTTCTCAGGGGAGTTTGCAGTGTTTTTATTTTCTGCCTAGCAACTTTCTTAAAAATAGATAAATCTTATGTGACCTGAAAAGCTGCAAACTGATTTTATTTTTTTTTTAGTTTTTTTTTTCAGCAATGTTTTTCTTTTAAAAAAAGACCTGATTTTTGCAGTTCAAACTAAGCATTTTCCAGTCAATGAATTCTTCCACACGAGTCAATGATCTCTGATGCTCCTCCAGAGTTACCATAAGCCTCTTGGCTGCTTGACTTATAAATGCTCCAGTTAGCCAGTACGTTTATTGTTTTCCATTTTCATATAATAGATATAACAGAGCTCTGCGAGACCTTCAAAGCTTTGGGTATTTCTTTAAATTTCTCAACAACTTTCTCCCTGACCTCTCTGCTGTGTTCCTTGGTCTTCATGATGCAGTTGGTTCTCTATGTTCTCTAACAAATATCCAAGGTCTTCACAGAACAGCTGGATTTGCAATGAGATTAAATCACACACAGGTCTATCACATAACATGTCAATACAATACATTGACATTTGTGATTATATTGTGACACTGTGAAGAAGCTTAAGAGGTGTGAAAAAGATTTTCATTGGAGAAAAACGCATACCTGTTCTTTTCATAAATTGTGGCTTTGAAATTGAACAAAAATACACGTCACAATATAATTTAATGTACATTTTATTTTATTGTTGCACATTTGTAATTCTTATTTAAAGGTTTTTTTCAATATATCTCACAGACGTTGATATCCATGGAGACTCCTAAGTTCACAGTGCCAGTTCAGGTTGATATGCTGCTTCTCTTGTCTGCTCCTTATATGTCTGAACATGTGAATTTGTTGTAGTTTTTCCTCCAACAGAAAAACTGTTGGTTTGTGTGATTGGTTATGAATGGAACCTTTGTTACTGCCTAATGCAATGTAAACTTTGTTAACACTGAATGGTTGGGTTGTGTATTAAGTGGAGTTGTTTGTTTTACTTGGCGTCTATTACTGAACTCTAAATGAACTGATTTAAGAGTTAAGACCTTCCATGTTATTGTTGGAAGAGAATGTATTACTTTTAATGCCAGATTAGTTTTAAAAACACCTGATTTAGATTTCCTTGTAGCCTATTTCTTAAGTGAAGAATGATCTCAGTTGCTGCATGTTTGGAATGGTTCTTGATTAAATCTTATTTTCTGTCAGGTGATAAAAGTGTACGATGAAAACAACACCAGCAAGGCTGTGGAGGTACCCACAGATGTCACCGCTAGGGACATATGCCAGCTATTTGTACTGAAGAATCACTGCATTGATGACCACAGCTGGACTCTTATTGACCACCTCACTCAACTAGGAATAGGTAAGACACTTTTTGCCTCCTTGATTATCTATTTAGGCATGTTTCAATCTGAGAGTACCATAATTTATAAGGAACTGACATGGACCCTAATGTCTGTTCCTTATAGTCTGACATTATAAGGAATGTCTTTCAATTCACAAAAGAAATAATTGATTAATTATTTTCCTTTTATATCACTGTGCGCCCACTGTCAATTGCAGTTAATTGCGAGTAGTATAGAATTTAGAGATTTAAAACGTTTATTTTAGTTGATTCATTTAATATGCATGTCAGTAATTGCTGTTTTTTCCGATCTACCTTGATTTGTGTTGAATGTGCACCTTTAGTATTATTATTATTTTGTAATTTGACACTTCCAGTGTCACTTCCAGTGTCACTTCGTATGAAAACATAATGAGAAAAAAAAATCTGCTAGGCATTATTACTCTTATATTCTGTGGCACTGGATGGAGGTGGTAAATACAGATGAAACAAAATATATACAGTTTTATATATATATATATATGTATTTGTAGTATTTTCTTTTTGTTCCGTTTCTTCACAGTCTAACATAAATCAACTTCAAGGTTTTCTGTTTTAGGTCAGTTAGGATTGACACAGTTATTTAGATTTTCTAAATTATGAGATAATTCTTTTTTTTAGCACTTTCTTAACCATCAACACTTTATTTGCTATTAAATTGCTATAAAAACGTTGTGATTTGGATCAAACATTGTGAGTATTATTCTTGAGTGTCACCTTTAGAGTACTACATTCCAACAGTAAATGCCCAGACATTGTGGGTAAAGTTATGAGACACAGAACTAGCAGAGGCTGTCGTTTAGCATCAGCTTGTGTTAAATGACACATTGTGTGTCATTTAGCACAAGTCATTGTGAAAATCCAGCAGAACAAACTTATCTTTGTCTTGCCAGGCAGTGGGTGTAGCTTCACTTGGATTGCCAGGTGAAGGGCTGGGCTTCGCTTGGCATTCCTAGGTGACAAAATTGTGATGCAACAATTTAAAGGTTTTTGAAACAAGCCTTTTGCAGACACCAGCAGAACATTTACTCATTTCCAAAAATTTTTTACTTTTTTTAAATTTTTTTTGTGCGCTTGGATTGTTTCTAGAAACAGATATCAAAATGAAAATAAAAGTGACTTTTGCATAACAGAGGACCTTTAAATAATTTTGACTTTGGTTTGATAATACACTTCTTTCCTTGTAACTGCTTACACACTTGTTAAAACCTTTCATTCATTAAGCTTTCATTTATGTTCTCCCTATGTGTTTTCTCCAGAAAGGACCATAGAAGATCATGAATATGTTATGGACGTGCTATCAGGCAATGGGATGGAAACTGACAGTCGGCTGTATTTTAGGAAGAATTTTGCTAAATATGAATTCTTTAAGAAACCGCTGGTGAGTTTGCCTCAAAAGTCTACTGAGTATAAAATAATTAGACCAGTGGTGGTTCTTGCATGAATGGTGCCCTGGACAAGTCTATTATCTAAATCAGGAATGGGATGTCATGCAGTAAAGTCTCACACAAAGCACATAAAATAGTTTTCCATTTCCCTGCAGCAAGCTGAGAGCACACTCTCCCCATTGAGAGATAAAATCAATAGCAACTTTGTTTAAAGTCTAGTCATGACAAGTAAGTTATGTTTTTCTGTCTGGTGCTTGTTCCTCCCTGGAAAACTTCCTATATGGCCCACATCAAAATCTGCCTCTGAATCACACACATCTTGTGACAGTTTAAAAGATGTATTAATGTTAAACAAATTTTGCTAAATTTTGTAGGACTTTTTCCCAGATCATATGGTTTCCATATCAACAGAAAGCAATGGCATTGTGGATCACTCCGAGCTTATTGAGGTATGGAGCTTTCTGATTTTGATAACCAATGACAGGAAAAAAAAAAAAAAGAATGCTCAACTATTTCTCCCCCCAACAGACCTTCCTCAAATCCAGCACTTGTCCTGAGATCCATGGCCACCTTCATGTCAAAGAGCAAAGCAAGAAGTCCTGGAAGAAGTTCTATTTTGTTTTACGGAGGTCAGGGCTTTATTTCTCTACCAAGGGAACTTCTAAGGTTAGTAAATAAACATTCAACAAATAATTAAACAATGTTTTTGAGTATTTTATTAATGGAATTTCAGTTTACAATTTTGGAACTATTCATGTAATGTATTTTCAAAATAATTATTTTTGTATTATCTAAGGTTGATGCAATTTGTCCTCAGAGGGGTCTAAATGCATAAAACCAATTGGGAAAATCTTTTCTCTGTGAAATCAGTTCATGATCAGTTGAGTGCATGTGGGTGCACATGCAGAGGACTGGAGCAGGTTGAGCTTAGTTTTCCTGAGGCCAGCTGCAGTGGAAACCATACTCTGTGCTGCTGACAAGTGACGCTTATACCTGGTCTGCAGCCATGCCAGCACACCCACTTTTCAACTGCTTTCATTTCTTACAACAGAAGGTCTTTTGTCGTTTATGTACAGGTAGGTTTGGTATGGCGCCCGCTTTTCGTCCTGCGTGTTTACAATCCATCTGGTGTCTTGGTCAAACACTTTGCTAGTCAGTTAGCACAGGCATTAATGGCTGAAGCATTACTTTAAATAAGGAAGTGGGAACAGTGTGTCACATGAAAGAAGAACAATGAAGATCTTTCAGTTTTTTTTCTCAGTTATCTTTGACACAGTGTAGCTATTGATACTGTCTCTATGTCTAAATATATGCTTATCTATTTCATTAAATAATTTGATTTTTCACATGAAAATTTATTTTCAAATATGCTTCACGATTGAGTTCTTACATTTTCTCATTTTCATGCTAATATAATTGGCAATACTATCTATTTTGACTTCATCAAAATATTTTCAAGAAATCATGATCATTCTTTTGGAAAATGTTATTTTGCTTTCTCATGTATTTTCTGACATAAAATGAAATAACAACCATTACCATTGGCATGTGCATTTATATTGACCAGAAATATGCCTTGGTTACTTATACAGTGTCCTATAACAATTTTTATACCTCCAGAACTTTCCAATATTTTTAAATGTATTTTATTGGGTTTTAATGTGACAGGCAAACACAAAGTAGTGTGCAATTGTTATATGAATGGATAATGACACGTTTTTTTTCCAATTCTTTTTTAAATAACACCATAAATCTCTGTGTTTATATTTGTCATCAGTCACATTCAGTCTGATACACATAAATAAAATCCACAGCAACCAAATGCAACTTGTGCCTAACATGAACAATTTTGGTGCATCAGGAATGCTTCCCTAATGCTCTGTATGACTTCAGAATAACAGTTTTAATGATGGGCAATTTTTCTTCTTTTTTTATGTATATATATTTCTATTTAAGCTTCTAACTACAGCAGTCTTTGCTGTATTTTCACAAGAAGCTATGTTTGATGTACAGGAACCAAGGCATCTCCAGTTCTTTGCTGATTTCGCAGACAGTGACGTCTACACTGTTTTATCAGCCAAAAAAGCGCACGGAGCACCAACAGAGTTTGCTTTCTGTGTCAAGGTAGGAAGAGCTTCTTTTATTTCATGATGTTTGAACTTGTTTTAAAAAGAGAAGAGAACTATCAAAGCTTTTCAGGTCTCCAACACACATTGTATTTTAATAATGTGTCTGCTTGTTACGTTTCACCTCAGGCTACAAAGTGCAGTTCATCTCGTGATTTGAAACTGTTTTGTGCGGATGATGAGCAGACCAAGACCTGCTGGATCACAGCCATGCGCTTGTTAAAGGTTGGCTTGCTGATGAATAACTGTGGCTGATATGTAGGAAGAGGAATGCTGAGTCAGTGCTAGAATCAGATTTAGCTTTGGAAAGAGGTCAAGGGAAACTATCGAGTGATGCTGGACTAGCATTCCCACCTTTGATAGAGGCAGCATGTGTTCATTGTCTGAATATCTGATGGAGCAGTTTAAGGCATGAATCCATCACACTCCTCCATAAAAAAAAATTGAGTGTAGCATAAAATATGAATTTCGTTGTTTTTTTTTGTTTGTTTTTTTTTCTTGTCTTCACAACAAATAAACAAGGTCTAAAAATAAAATGCAATGTAGTATCTGGTTTCAAATTAATCATTTTAGCCTTCTTCATCTTTCAGTTTGGAATGCAACTTTACCAAAACTTCATTCAGCCTCATCAGAAGCAAAAAGTCTCACCAATGGTAAGCTGAAGTTGTGAAGTTGTATGCAATAATGGAAGCTGAAGGTGTTTGTGTTTAGGTGTTAGTTAGGTTATTGTAAATTTGTTTATAAATTTCTATTCCTCAATATAAGCCACAGTTTGTAGTTTGGGATGTTTTGTACTTGTCATTGCTCAATGTCTTTCATATTGTTGAATCATGGAGTGACCGTAACTGAGGCAAATGCGGTCAGCAGTTCTTTAGATGATGTCCTTGATTGCATCATGACCTCCTGGATGAGTTGTCAATGCACTCTTGGATTACTTTTGGTAGCTAGCCAGGACGCTTCACCACTTTCCCCTGGTTTTTCCACTTTTGAATAACAACCCTTGTTGTGGTTCATTGACTTCCCAAAGCCTTAGAAATGATTGTGCAACCCTTTCCAGAGTGAGAGACTTTAATATATTATTGAAACAATAATATTGTTTCTTATCTTCTCCTAAATTTTTGTCAATAAATCTATGGTGTGATGTTTTTTGGATGTTTAAATAGGTTTCAATGGATTTGTTTAAAATTGAACATATATATCGAGCTTAGATGTCCAAAAATCTGATGATTACAGATAATACAAATAATGACAAAGGAGGGAATTATATTTTCTCTTTGGGTCAGGCTAGTTTAGGTACTTTTTTTTTTCTATTACCTGAGCTACTTTTTGTTTTTACTCTGGTTTTCTTTGTCTAATATATTTAGACAAAAAAAAAGACATTTCTATGGCACTATGTGTTTTTATTTCTTTGTGTGTGTGGATCGTTAGATGTTATTATCAACATCTGGTCTGATTTTCATGTCCATAGAGCTATAAAAACTACATGTTTATTGAGAACATTTTTGACGTCTTCCAACATTTTCTCTCTGCTGTAAAACTATGCTACTAGGATTTCTTTGTGAGATAATACCTGATCAGAAAGAAATAATGGAACATTATAAACAGAAACAAGAGTGTAAAGTGGACTAATTAACTAGAACCATGAGACAAAGTTGTGTGAGTTGCTGAACATTTATACTTATTGAATGGTTTTTAATGCAGTACTATAAACTTGTCATATGTCAGTGTTCTTCCATTAGCCGCTCTGTTAAATTAAATCAGTCAGCGAAGCCTTAAAAACAATTTGAACGCATTAAAAAATGCAACAGTGATATAATTCAGTAGGACAAATAACTCACCTTCAGTGTTTTAATGTGGACTTTATGTCCCAGAATAGCCTCAAACTTTACTGAGGCAGCAAACAGGATCTATTTATGGGTTATGTGCATGCTCGCAAGCTGCCAGCCTTCTAAAAATACATAATGATCAGCTGCTCTCACTTGACAGCTCTCCCCTTCTTCTTCTTTTCCTGCTGTCATGGGGTCGAATGCTCCCTGGCAGACATAGCCAGGAGGATTTACTAGAAAGATTGGAAAGTATGTGAATCAGCCCGATGCCAAGCTGGGTAATTAAATTTTATGTATAGATAACATGATATGTTTCAGCAGAATTGCTGCCATTTATAAATGATAGTTGAGCTGATGAGTATTTACGGCATGTGATGTGGGTCAGAAAGGATAAACAGCAGTAAAATAAAAAAAAAATGTTTAAGAGCACTCATTTTAATTGCAGAGCTTAGTTGGTGGAACAGCAATAAGTGTTGCAATTTGAAAGCTTTGAGGTAATCCTCATAAGAAGAATTTTCTTGCCTGTCTGTGGAGTTTAGAGCCACTCACTCTATGACAGCTTAAAAGAGTAAAATGTGCCCATGTGTCATTCTTTCCAAAGCCACTCTAATCCCTTTTCAATAGAGCTTTCTGTCTGGAATTATCTAGAAATGATGAGGATGGAGTCACATTACACTGACACTAGGTGGCAATGTAATACCACATTGCAGCAAGTCTTTAAATCTCCCGTACCTTATAAAAAAGGACTCAATTAAAAACGATCTGCATTTTATTTCCATGATTTAGATTTTTACTTGCTTGAACTAATGTGTGTTTTATAGCTCCTTACAATGCCTAAAACAATATATAATTTATTTTCCATTTCAGAGAAGCATCTCTGAGAATTCGCTGGTGGCCATGGACTTTTCTGGTCAAAAGACACGAGTGATTGAGAACCCATCTGAAGCTCTCTCTGTGGCTGTGGAGGAAGGCCTGTCATGGAGGGTGAGTCAAGGATTTCTCAACAAATGTCTCACTCTATGCAGATAGAGAACGACTTGTTGTTAGCGTTGTTTATTAACAAGGTAGACATTTGTTAAAAGGTGTACATGGGAGACAAATATACAAAATGATTTATGGTTTTTACTTTCATCCAAATATTTTATAAGTGTGGTATACCTTTCTATATAATGTATGTAAATATATACTCTGCTAAATGGAATTCAGTGCAACTAACTGTAGAAGTTACCTTATTATGGAATAGAGTCTACCACTGTGCATTTTATTCTCAGTAAAAATCCAACTGTTCTCTGAAGGACTCAGATGTTTGTTTGAGAACATAAGTGAACAAACAACGTCAGGAAGATCATGGAAGTCAGTAAAGAGGTCAGGAAAAAAGCTGTGTAAAACAAGAAAAATAAGTTGTGGACAATTTAAAAGCAGGATAGGTTATCTGAAAGTTTCCAAAATTTCAAAGATCAATGTATAGCTTGAAAATGAAAAAAAAAAAGTGCATTTGTAAGCCTTCCAAGACATAGTTTTACATTTTAACTGTCAAGCTGAAAAAGGCATTAATCTGAGACACAACCAAGAGGCCCTAGGTAACTCTGGAGGAGCTGCAAAAATTCACAGCTCAATTGTGAAAATCTGTTGACAGAGCAACTATTAATATTGAGCCCTTCAGATCTGGGTTCTGTGAAAGAGCGGCAGGAAGAAAGCAAAAGGGAGTCCAATGTGCAGTTTTCCACTTGTTACATAGAGAAAAGCAAACATGTAAATGAGCTCAGATACAATGAAGTCAAAATTTGAATATTTGGCCTGTGTACAAAACGCTGTTGATGTAGTCAATACAATCTGACTGAGGTTGACTTAATTTGCAAAAAAGGCAGAGTTTTCATTTGCTTGATGTAAAAGCTGGTTGAGAAATAATAAAATCCATGCATCATTTTCTTCCTGCTTCAAAATGATGTGCTGGTTTATATAAAGAGCGCTTTGAGTAGTCAAATTAATTGGAAAGTGCTTTATAAGTTCAGTCCTTTTACCATTTACCATTAGTCTAGCACACAAAATCTTAAAATAAAATTAAGATTGTGGCTGATTGTGGCTATATATATATATATATATATTTATATATATATATATATATATATATATATATATATATATATATATATATATATATATATATATATATATATATATATATATATATATATATATATATATATATATATATATATTGGAGAGCACTTGTGTCTCCTTCAGAGGAAAAGCTGCCACCGTTTGAGTGGTCATGGGAGCCCCTCCTCCGCACAGAGCTCAGTTCCAAACCTAGGTATGTGAGATACTTCTCTATCTGCTTTACATATGTGCTTCAGATATGTACACATGTAATTAAACAGCTAACTTCCAATCTTTGTACTGCAGCAATCCACTTGGCTCAGCCGTGGTTCCATGGAAAGCTGTCTCGAGAAGAAGCTCAGCATTTAATTACCCAGCAGGGTCTTATTGATGGGTAAGTTGTTAATAGTCTTTTAGCACATTGTCTTGCTTAAGACAATTGAGATTTTGCAAACCTCTTGCCTCCTATCATTTAGAGAGGTTTTCTGTCTTAGCTATTTTGAAAAAGAACAAGTATAACAATACATTTCTAATTGTTTACACTTAGACCAATCATGTGCAGTTGACAAAAGTATTATTTACAAATGATGACCATTAAAATGGCTACATTTTTGTGCTACAGTGTCATAGCTCAACACTTTCCTTTGCTTTTATTTGTCAACACGTCAGCGATATCTTTACCAGGACAACTAAAACAACAATCTTTAATTGACTATAATATGTCCTATTACTCATCTCAATAATTCATAAATCTTTGAATATAGGTAAGTCTCAGAAGTTGTATTTTAACATACATACTTTGTCTTGAACTACACTAAGAGGGTTTCTTCCTGTTGCAGAGTGTTTCTTCTAAGGGACAGCCAAAGCAACCCAAAGACGTTTGTTCTCTCACTCTGCCACATGCAGAAAATCAAACACTTTCAGATTCTACCAGTAAGTACACTTATTTGAATGAACCTAAGCCAAACTGGAAAACATTTTTCTGATTAAAATGTTGGTCAGATGAGGGTGTTTTTACAAATACAGACCAACATTATTTTATTTGTGGTAACAAATAAACAAAATGGAAAACATATTAAAAAACAGTGGTGTAGACATATAACCTTATTAAAAACTGTATTTTACGACTAACATGCCATGAATCACCTTAGAATATATTGTAATAGTTTGTTTCAAATGTCCAGAAACGTGCAATAGGGCGAATGTTGTATTTCTTTTCACATAATACAACTTGACTCTTACTTATGGATTATATCTGGGGCCCCTTATTCTTTGGCTCAAAATGTGTCCTTGTATGACAATATTAGTACGATAGACGTATAATCGAATAAACCTAAATAAAGGTTTAGATTTCTATGAAAAACAGATGAGAAATGAGCCAAACATTTAAAATAAACTGCACTAAGGTCAATTGCACTTGTTTTCTATTTGCCACCATTAGCAGTATCTGTATTTTATTTGTCTCTTTTTATGTGCACATATGAATGTGTGTATTTGGTCCTTTGTAGGTGGACAATGAAGGGGAGCTGTTCTATACTTTGGATGACAGTCACACACGATTTACTGATTTGATCCAGTTAGTGGAGTTTTACCAGCTAAACCGTGGGACTCTCCCCTGCAGACTGAAGCATCACTGTATCCGGATCACCCTGTGAAATGGACACTCAAAACTCCCCAATGGGCCCTTTACTCTGGATTCTGTTGGACAATTTTTTGCCTTGCAGAAGAACAACATAGAAACCATAGTTTTCACAATGTGGGACATTCTCCCTTTTTCTATTTCTCTTTCAGGAAAAGCCAGCTTTCAGAATGAACTGTATGACTGATAAATTGCAAATAAGATTATTTTTTAACTCAGTTGTGTTTCTACATGTATTTGGAAATCTATTTTGGACAGCCTAATCATGATGTTTTGCTCTAAACAGTGTGAAATTGTATCACTTCATAATATCATTGAAACGTTTTTTTGTAATAGCTGATTTTCTAATGGTGTGCACATACAATATTGCTGAAACTCCTTTAAACTCTGCAACCACAAACTTTGGAGTTTGTTTTTTTTCCGCGGTATGCCGACATGCACAGGAGAAGTGGTTCTGAAAATGTAAAAAAAAACAAACAAAAAAACTGTGAATTATAGTCCAGAAAATATGGTACAGTTGCAAATGCTTTGGAAGATGTATAATTACTAACATTTTCACAAAATAGCTTGTCCCAGTCAGATTGGATGGAGCACTTCTGTAAGCATTGATATGTTTTATAACATTAATATGTTTTAATTTAAACTATTCCATTGCAGCCCTGGCAGTACGTTTAGGGCTTTTATCCTGCTGATGGGTGAATCTCTGGCTTAGTTTGAAGTCTCTTACCAGTTTTCAGTGACCTCATCTGACCACAGCATATTTCTTCCATTCTTTCACATTTTCTGTGTCTCTTATATGTCTTGAGGAAAACTCCAAAAAAAACTTCTTAAGATTTTCTCCTTGCCAATTTTCTGTAAAACCCAGATTTGTGGAACATTTAACAAATATCTTCCCTGCCTTCAGATTATCCCACCTGAGCAGTGGATCTCTCCAATTCTTCCAAAGTTACCACCGGACTCCTAGTTGTCTCTTCTGATTAATGCACTTTTTGCCCGGCCTGCAAGCAAAGGTGGATAACCATGTTGATTTGTAGTATTACCACAATCTTTTTATGTCTCGACGATGATATGAAAAGATATCAGACCTCCAAAGCTGTATACTTGATCTGTCTGCTTTTTCTTGGTCTTTCTGATGTTTGTCAACAAATGTTTTCTAACAAACCTCTTCAGTTGTTGAATCAAATTAAGCACATGTGAACACAATTTATCAATTTGTTGACTTCTGATCGTGATGGATTCCACCATTTTTATTTTTTTTATGGGCACTAGATGGTTGCTGAGAACAATTACATGCCACAACTTAAAAAAAAAAGTGCAAAAAAAGGCAAGCCTGCAAGAAAACTTTGAGTTATGTGAATCCCAATAAAAATATATTAAAGTTTGGGATTTCTAAATCACAAAAAAGTAGAAAACAAGTTCAGGTGAATAACTATTTTGAAAGGCATTATAAACATGATTCATATCAAATAAAGAAACATAATTAATTGGATGCATGCAGTTCTGAAAACATCAATAAGAACAAGTTTCAGCTGTTAAACATAAATAGGTCTATTTTTTCTTGTTTTTGTACCTCTCAGTGTCCAGGATGTTTTTGGCTGTTTTTTTTTGTTTAGTTGAGAGAAACAGCCTCTCAAGAAATAGAAGAACTAGTACAGCGTTTTCAGCTGCAAAACAGAAATAAAAGGAAAATGGTGAGAAAAGTTAGTCTTTCTGTAATTACTACTAACCTTCCTCAAGAACAAGAGCAACAAGGTGCATCTTACAGCTTTTTCCTTTCAGCCATCATGAAGAAATTGTGTATAACCGATTTTGATCATACTGAATTCACCTGTAAAATAAAAAAAGTTTGTTCTTTTTGTTTTCTCACCTGGATTGATTGTAACTTAATGCTGTACAGCCACTGTAGATCACCACTTAAAGGAAGTGTCAGAAATGTTTTGGTCATGGTTGTTTGTATGCCATTAGCCTTCCTGTATAAAATTTGCATAATTCAATGTTATTATTTTTTTTTTGAAAAACAAAACTACATTATTAAAAGAAGATATTTTGAGTCACTTAAAATAAATGTCTGCCTTTGATGTTAGCTTCAAAATTTTGTATTCAATTAATAAATCAACAGCTTAACCCTTATGATGCATGTATTTGCAATACATTTTTAAAAAGTAATGTTGATTTTAAAACTCACATAAAATAAGATATATACAATATTTGTATCTAATAAATCTGTTTTATCTTGATTTAATTGCTGATGTTTAAGGAAATACACCTTAAACATGTTTCACCTTTTTGTCTGCCCTTATAAAATCAAACATTTCTCTCAAGCCACCAATCCAGCCATTTTACATTTTATGGGAAAAGCCACCTTTACCTTCATCCACTAGATGGTACCAGAGATATTTGGCTTGCTTGAAACCATAATAGACATTTACAAATTAATATTTCATATAACATATAAAAATTCAATGAATATGGTGTTATTAAAACTTTTTCAGCAACTCAGAATTGCTGAAAAATGAAAAAGCATATTTTCCTTATGTATTGCAAACTGCTCCATAATTTTATTTATCCATAGCAGTTTAAGGATACTCAAATAATCTACTTGTTCCTGGTATTTCATGGGTCTCTGCTTTACCATAACCATTTTATTACAGTAACTTCTACGGTTATGATGGTTAAGATAATGTTAGCTGCTTGCACATGAATGAATTTGTGGTAATCTTGTAAGAATTATATTTAGGGATCCACGGATGAAAGTAAATGTTCATGGATATACACTCCCCACACAACAAAAAATGAAAAAGGATATCTTGTCAATCTCCTTGGTTGTGATATAAACACATTGCCCCTATACCTGCCCTGCTCTACTTCAAGCACATATTTCGAAACACTTCTCTCATCCAGGGGAGATATGCGCACACAGAGAAGTCTTAAACGCACCCCTGCTTCCGAGGTCTTGTGCTAAATGTTGTTTTGGATGTATTCCTGCCATTGATCGGAGTCTGGCTGCAGGGGGAGAGATGGCAGCTGGGAGAGACTGCGCTTCCTTTAATGAATTCATCCAGCTCAAACGGCCTGTGGATACACAATCTCTCTCAGTAAAAAATATCTTGTCTCCATTCTATCTTGGCCCTCATGGACAACCAGCAGGTTTTGTAACACCTCACACCAGCATACCATGAAGAATTTACTCCTGCTTGCTCTTGGACTGTTATGACTTCAGGTTCTGTTCTTGAGAGCTGTCAACTTTGCTCTATTCTTAAATGCCCCTCTTGTTGTATCCCTCTTGAGTGTATTAAATTATCTGCCTTTGTCTTTTCTCAACGAATGTCTGCATACATCCAGTGAAGTGAAGACCTTGCTATTTGCTGTGCTTGTGATTCACAAAGAGGCATTATTTGGACGTGGGTTAAAGTCTACAAGGAAATGTGAAGATGGGAGATAGACTGCGGTGAAGGTTAGTGGAGAATTTTTCTTGGTTTCAGCAGAAACATTTTCTCATACGGAGCATGTAAAGCCAGAAGCAAATTTGAGTCATGGTAATTTTCAGCCTTATAACAAATTATAAAGGTTTTATTTTCACATAGTGTGAATGAAACAGTTTGCATAAACTTCCAATGGGTCTCATGGATCAAACTAGCAAACGCTGTATAGTTTACTGAGCTGTATGGTGCTCTTTTCTTATGCAGTTTACTGCTTTTGTTTGAACAGAAATCAAAAATGTTTGAAGAAATGAACTCCAGAAGGTGTTGTGATGGTTGAAGAACTCCCAGCAACTTAAAAAAAAAAAAAAAAAAAAAAAAAAATATATATATATATATATATATATATATATATATATATATAATATATATATATATATATATATATATATATATATATATATATATATATATATATATATAAATAACCTGCCTCTCCACAACCTGGAAGCTCATGAGCACGGCACAGAAGGGTGTCTGTAAATAGCAGAGGAGCCAAACACCAACTCCTCGTAGAACACACAGTTGCCCGAGACTGCAAAACCCGACACACCAACCTGTGCATGGCTTGGATTGATTACAAGACGGCCTATGACTCAATGCCGCATACTTGGATCATTGAATGCCTAGAGATGTATAACATGAACAGGACTCTAAGAGCCTTCATTGCAAACTCGATGAGGCTGTGGAAAACCACCCTTGAAACCAACTGCAAGCCACTTGCACAAGTGTCCATCAAATGTGGCATATACCAAGGAGATGCTCTGTCCCCGCTACTGTTCTGCATAGGCCTGAACCCCCTCAGCCAAATTATCAACAAGACTGGCTACGGATACAGACTCAAAAATGGGGCCAACATCAGTCACCTCCTCTACATGGATGACATCAAGCTGTATGCCAAGAGTGAGCGAGACATCGACTCACTGATCCACACCACCAGGATCTACAGCACGGACATTGGGATGTCATTCGGACTAGAGAAGTGTGGTCGGCTCGTCACAAAAAGTGGGAAGGTCATCCGCATAGAAGGGGTCTCACTCCCAGAAAGAACGATAGCAGACATAGAGAACAGTTACAAGTACCTAGGTATACCACAAGCAAATGGCAACCTCGATGAGACCACAAGGAAAGGAGCCACAGCTAAATACCTCCAACGAATAAGGCAAGTCCTGAGAAGCCAGCTCAATGGCAAGAACAAAATCCGTGCGATAAACAGCTATGCCTGCCAGTAATCAGATACCCTGCTGGAATAATTAGCTGGCCAAAGGAGGAGATAAAAGCCACAGATATTAAGACTAGAAAGCTACTAACCATGCATGGAGGGTTCCATCCAAATCCAGCACCCTGAGACTGTACACGAGCCGCAAGGAAGGAGGCAGAGGACTAGTGAGTGTGAGAACCACTGTCCAGGACGAAACAACTAAGATCCATAAATACATCAGGGACAAAGCCTCAACAGACAATGTGCTCAGTGAATGTCTCAGACAACAGGGAACGGAGGTTGAGGTGCCAGAGATACCATCATGGGAGGACAAGCCCCTACATGGGATGTACCACCAGCAAATAACCCAAGTGGCTGATATCAGTAAATCCTACCAATGGCTGGAAAAAGCTGGACTCAAGACAGCACAGAGGCCCTCATCCTGGCCGCCCAGGAACAGGCCCTAAACACCAGAGCAATAGAGGCCCAGATCTACCACACCAGACAAGACCCAAGGTGTAGGTTGTGCAAGGAGGCCCCTGAGACAGTCCAGCACATAACAGCAGGGTGCAAGATACTGGCAGGAAAAGCGTACACGGAACGACATAACCAAGTGGCAGGCATAGTGTACAGAAACATCTGTGCAGAATATGGACTGGAAACCCCGAGATCAAAGTGGGAAACACCCCCAAAGGGTGGTGGAGACACCAGAGCTAAGATCCTGTGGGACTTCCAGATCCAGACAGACAAAATGGTAATGGCGAACCAACCAGACATTGTCGTAGTGGATAAACATCAGAGGAAAGCCGTTGTGGTAGATGTAGCAATACCAAGTGATTGCAACATCAGGAAAAAGGAGCACGAGAAACTGGAGAAATACCAGGGCCTCAGGGAAGAACTGGAGAGGGCCTGGAAGGTGAAGACCACAGTGGTGCCTGTGGTCATCGGGGCCCTCGGGGCAGTAACCCCCAAACTGGAGCAGTGGCTACAACAGATCCCAGGAACAACATCAGACATCTCAGTCCAGAAATGTGCAGTCCTTGGCACAGCCAAGATACTGCGCAGAACCCTCAAGCTCCCAGGTCTCTGGTAGAGGACCCGAGCTCAGAGGATAAGAACCACCCGCGGTGGGTGAGAAGGGAATTTTCTTTTTCTTTTTTTTTTTTTACATATATATAAATCTAAATTTGCATAGTGTGGTGTGAATGTTTATTCAGCCTCCTTTACTCTGATTACCCAATATAACATCCATTGAAATTAGGAAAAAAAAAAACCATCCATCTGTGTGTAATTTAGCCTCACCTTAAATCGCAGTAGTTTCCTGAATTTTTTTCAGAGAAGACTTGAAAAAAATATATATCATCATAACGTCCAAGAATCACTTTAGACAGATCAAATAAAAGTCATTGAGATGCTGTGTGTGAGGAAAAAGTAACATTGCACAGCATGTCTTCTCCACTTTGACACAGGGTGGTGGTAACATCATGCTGTGGGATATTTTTTTCTTCAGCTGGGACAACGGAGAGTTGATGGAAAGGGAAATAGAGTCAAACGCAAATCTGGGAGACAACATATCAAAAGCTGCTTCTCTGACAAAGTTAATTCTTTCGAACTGTTTCCATCCAAGCCTCACTGAGCTTGAGTTTTTATTTTTTGTGTGTGTTTTGTTTTTGCAAAGAAAAATGGGAAGAAATGTTAATCTGTACATGTGCAAAGGTGGTGGAGACATTACAAAAGACCTGAGGGTACATGGTATTGACTCAGATGACTGAATACATTTACACAACTAAGTAATCAGAATTATTAATTGTAAAAAATGTTGAAAATTGTGTATTTTTCACCTTCCACTTCATGGCATGGACTGAAGCGGTTTTGTATTGGTCTATCTCATAAAATTCATATAAGTATTTTTACAGTATCACATTTATTTGATCAAAACTATTTCAATTTTTTTTTTACTTTTTTTGTTTCAAGCAAAGGAGATTCCAAAAGAACTGTTGTTTGCCATGGCACTGTTAGGTAAAGAAACTGAAGCAAAAAAAAAATAAAAAGACATGTATAAATATAAAGACTGCTTGTAGTTTCTGTTTGTTCACTACACCACAGCTGCCTGCTATTGGAAGCAAGAAAAGTAGAATATCTGAGCAGCTCCAGCCTCAAAAGACCTGTAAAAAATACATTTTTGTGTGGTTTTCAGTCTTGAGGCTGTGCAGGAACTTGGCATTAACTTTGGCAGTAAATGGACAACATACAGCTCATAGCCATGGCACAAAGATTCACTAAGAAATAGTAATAGAAACGGTTCCTAAATTCA